CATTACAATAGAAAATAATGAAAGTGCCAGATGGTCTTACAGCTAGGTTACAATGATCTCGTAATGCCGTGTCCACACTCACTCCTGCATACTCACTCTCTTACGTTCATTCGGCATGCACACTGGATGCCAAGGCTGCCTTGGTGTTCGCGATTCTTCTGCACACGACTCGAGATCCCTCACTTCGGTGATCACTTAAACTACACGACAATATTGTTCGTGGCAAAATCAGAATACTAACATCTAAACTCACGTTGACTAATACGCTACGCGTGCAACTCGTAGGGCTCGATACGTCTTAATCGACTTACATACGGCGATAGGTAACAGTACGCGGAACTCCCGTGAGAATGATAGCCGCCGCGCGATGCAATTTGTGAGGAGCTATTCCAGCCCGAACTATGCGCTCTGGTGTGTATCTGGAGACTGATTTGCCTTCCCTGCTCCATCCTACTTTCTGCTGGAAGTAGGTGGACAGGTAGGGGCAAATCTTACTAATTCAGCGGTTTTACCCGCTCGCGTGAGTCCTGGAATTTTCAGTTCACACGTTTCGGCACGTTCTTGGTGCGATAAGACCGGAAGCTAGCTTTCTTACATATTGCTGGAGTCGGCATCTCCGAGATCGCGTGGTTTCTCTGTTGCATATATGTGTGTGCGAGATCCAAGTTCAAAAAGGCACGGCACGTGACAATGCAAAGAAACTCATACTTTTCAACGATAAGATAACGTTCTAAATAATAATTTTAAAGTTGAGGTGGTAAAATAAGTCGGTTAAATTTCCAAATTGTTTTGGCGTCAAATCATTTACATTAACTGGGTATGACTGCAATTTTGGTGCAGCGGCAGGAAGTGCCAAGATTTCGAGCACAAGTTCTGATAAAGAAAAATGTACAGTAGAAACTGCTCTCCAAAATAAAGCTCTATCTTAATATGTTCTTAGACGATATAAGCCAAAGATCCGTTTCGGATCTTTATATTCAGTGAAACCGTCCTTTTCGGAGGGAGTTAGTTTTTCAATCAGCAGTTTCATCACCTCAGTGTTGCGTACTCGGTCGTGGGCAAATCTTTGTCCTCTGTAAGTAGGGTGGAGTAAATTGGCCATGAGGGCAATCGTAGTAAACAATTTTTCCATTTCAATCCAAATTGGATCATAATCTCTGTTCTCGGTTAACGCCAGCACCAACCAATCCTCAATAATTACTGCAAGGCTGACATCTACCCTTTCACATTTCTAAACTATGGATTAAAAAGGTGTGAGCCAATTCAAGGAATGTCTCGATGTATCTTCAAGCGATTGATCGAGTGATATGTCCACAACATCTTTTTTGAGCTTGCACGACCTATCTCCCACCATTTGTGTCATGGCCTCCAAATTGATCATACAAGTAGAGTACAGATTCCAGAATTGAGATCGTGAGTTGCATTCAAGTTTTATATCTTTTACCTCCACGTGCTATTAAGCTGTTTTCCATATCTGCTGTAGAAAACTCGTAAAGCAACTTCCTAACTTTACCTGCGAATTGCAAATCGACTAGTTTCTGTTCGATATATTCAGCGAAGGATATATTTGTTGTGAGTCCAAATACTGGATTCACAGATTTGACTACCGGAAAGGATTTTCGGAAGTCAGGTACTTTGGGATTCGTTGCCCGAGTAAAAAGTTGGAACTTAACTGTCGATAACAAGTAATAGATTTATTGAAAACAAAATTGGTTACGTTGGAATACACTATTAGAAATAAACCGTTAACGTGGTGAGTACGAAAATCACGAGGCTGGAGGTTAGTACTTCGACTAAGTTACCGTAGTAACACTTCACTCGTAGCTCTCTTACTTTGTCTGACGTGACGACAGGCCGTCCGCTTTGTATATTTTAATTATGGAATTTTTTAAAGACGCAATAACCAAAGGATTGTTTTTATATTTCGCCATGGTGTCGGTGATGTGTCTCTTTCGTTTCCATAATATTAGCGGGTGGAATGTGCCGCGTCGCAGCGTAGCCATTCTGTCGCTTCTGACGTAGGCGCGTTTCCAAATCTATATAGTTTACAACATATTGCATTGCAGTAGCCACAGATCGCTGAATTCTTCCGCTGCAATTGATTGGATATCTTCGTTGGAAATAACAGCGTAAATCTGGAGTTTAAAATTCTCAAAAGCAAGAGTTATGGCTTCTGCAATAACGACTGTTAAGATATCATTTTGAACTTTCCAGGTTTTTAAATAAATTGTCGTTTTTCATGGGGTCCGCACAAAAGCAATGACACTTGAAGATATTGTTGATTCTGTGTCCTTCTGATAATTAAAACTCTTTTGAAACTTTCTAAAGTTGAGTGATATTGTTTCATCTGTGCGTGGAGATCATGAAGAACAGTATTTTATATATCAGCTGTAGATGGAGGTTTATATGCAGGTCGCATGACCTTCAAGAAATTCAAAAATCATCTCGATGTAACTATGTCGAATGGGATGTTTTCAGCATAAAGGAATTTGATTAAAAGTTCGTCGATTGGTGCTTTATCTTTTAGTGAAACACTGTCGAAAAAAGTGCCATATTTTCTTTTCTGTGAATCTTTCGTCTTTTGTTTTTTGGAGCTGGGAACACGGAAGATGTCGTTGACACAAGATTGCTTTATTCTTGAGGTGAAAGAGCTGAAATACTTAAATTTGGAACGATAAGGGGAACTTCATCAAAATTGCCAGTTCCCATATGAATTACGTTTGATGTTTGCTGATTTGAAGACGAAGCGATGTCCAGTTGAAGTGTACGGATGAAATTTTCATTTGTGTTAGTTCTGCCAATGACGTTCAATTCATCTGTTGGCTGGGAAACGTCACCAGAGTTATTGTTGCAGTTCGTTCTACAATAATAAAATTTCAAGTTAGTCAATGGATTAATTTTCCTTTACTGAATAGCTTGACGTTTTATATTTTGTTTACTTACCTCTGGGTTTCTAATCTTTTTTTCGCGGTATTTCTTAGAGTTTTTTTTACATCTCGAGCAGAACGCGACAGGTTCCCCGCGTCTCCCATTCTCAGTTTGCTTTTCATATTCGCCGATTTGCCAATAATCATTGAGAGGGCTGCCACCGTGATTCATTTTATTAGAATTATGCAAAGAGGTGCGCTAATAATAAACTCTCCTCTTGATTACTAAATCCAAACCCGTGATTCAAACTACATCGAACGAACAGACAATCAATGTGTACGTGATGCAGATCACATGCAGATGCATCTAGTTGCACTAACAACCTGAAGGGGTGCCTACGTTGCTCGACGTAGACTACATAATGTAGAAAACTAGGGACGTAAACCATGTAATTTACATCGAGTATTCTACCTACCCAACCCTGTTGTGTAGCGTATGCATGCGTGTGGGACATTATTATAAGTCTCCATTTAACATTGTGATGTTATGGTATGGGCGCAGTGGACTCCAGGGAAGAGGCCCCGGTAGGTGGTTTCGGGAGACCAAGGTTTAACCCCTTGCACTATTTTGACGAGTCTGACTCGTGATGCAAATTTTAGGCCAAACATGGATGTCACGAGTCGGGCTCGTTGTTCAGTTCCAGACCAAACATGAATATTACGAGCTTGACTCGTACTCGACATTTCAGGTCGCACATGAATATCACGAGTCTGACTCGTGATGCAAATTTTAGGCCAAACATGGATGTCACGAGTCGGGCTCGTTGTTCAGTTCCAGACCAAACATGAATATTACGAGCTTGACTCGTACTCGACATTTCAGGTCGCACATGAATATCACGAGTCTGACTCGTGGTCTTAGTTTTGGACCAAATTATATTATTATAATTAATCAGAATTTGTTTTCATCTTATGTAATAATTAAAGTATTTTTTAAAAGTTTTTGATTCAAATTCATTTGAATTTCACAAGAGTTCCTTCGCGTGAAGTAAATACGGGCATGACTACCTTGCGCTCGGTCGTAAGAATAGGTCTCAAGGTTCGGCGCGCCCGCTCCACCGCTCGCCTTCCACCACGACAATCGAGGCAGCTGCGTTTGGCCTAACTTTTCCCGAGGTTCCGAATAGTGCAAGGGGTTAACGAGAAACCAAGATAAACGAGGTTTTAAAATGAATATACGCTAAGGAACCATCGATTGCAGTGCCACTTTGACAGTTAAAATAAAAATTGATAGAATAAACACCTTAGTTCAAAATTAGAAATTGATTTGACAGCGAATTTTTATTCGATTTTAATTTGAATTCAACTAAATTCTCTTGTCTTTTGTGATCCTCACGTACACGCATGAACGTCACTTTTTTTGCAATTTCGACAAGATGTTGTGTTGACGCTACGTACGCCGCTAGTCTAACCAAGAAACATCAGGCAGTCTTCGCGCGCATGCGCGTCGTCTCCATACATGTTTCCAAGCGCCAACGCGCATGCGTAAGCGACAATTATTTTCTTATTGCCGTCCACGAACGGCAAAAATCCCTCTGCTAAATATTTCTCATTTCGGCCATTGGCGTGACCCCTCCCAGAATGACGAAAAAAAACGTCTTCCTTTTGCATAAATCTTATTACCTATTGTGACGGCAATTTTGCAACGTCACAAGATGTAGAATTTTTATACTATTCGTAGTAAACTAATTAAAAGTACACTAAACTTAAACTTATACATCATTTTTTTACTCATTAACAACATGCGATTTTCACATCTGGATCCATCTGTTCCTCTTACACGAAGAACATCATACAATATTAGACACATGCCAGTTCTATAAAAGTTCACCTGTACATTTCTTAAGAATTAAATAAGAAATTAATTTAATTCTACAATAATTAAAAGCTTAATATAGCAAATAATGCCATTTTAAAATATTTTATACATACCTGAGGTCAAATACGTTTAAATTTCGTAACCTTGTAGAAAGTACATTGTTAGAATTCATTGTAGACTTAATTTCATTCATAGAAGGCACAAATCATGGTTAATAATAAACCAAACAATCAAATTACAATAATGATTTGCAGGAGGAGGAATGCCGTCAATCCCTGGATCCAAAATACGCTCACCTTTCTGATGATCTTCACGTTGAGATTGCTGCATTAGCGCCACCAGCGGAAGCTCATGCTCGTATCGCTTTTGCCCTGGCTGAAGTTAGAAAGTATCTTATCCCGGACAATAATGATAATATCCGTCAAGAACAGATGCGCGAGATGGAATTAAGCATGGCCGAAGATCCCACAGCTGCTGAAGAAAGGAGGCCGTCAGCACGCGCCGGTGGCATTCTTAGGCCAACCAGTAGACCTGCAGTACCTAGGTCCTCCCGTGGTAAGTGCCTGATTCGAACAAGAACTTAATAATGAAATGCAAGGAATATGTCCACAAAAAATTCCAGTTTGATTATAATGTTCCTCACTGAGAAAAGCTGATCGCAGAACATTTTAATCTTTTAATACTAAATGTGTCCTTTGAACTTTATGCAATAAAATGAATAAAATATTGGAGCAAACAGGTTCGCCGTAAGGTATCACCGCTTGAGCAATATGATCTCATCTTATGCATTTACTGTCGCAAAAAAAATGTAATTAATTTCACCGACGCAGAACTATTAAATTGAAAATTGCTGACATTTGCAATTATTACTTATCTGTCTACATCGTCATGATATTTCGTGTAAATTTCAAACGGATTGGTTAAGGTAGTTGTCCTGCCACTGTCATCTTCAGAACTTTATTCAAGAAAAGAACAGAAACATTCAATATCTATGATAATACTGCAATGAAATATCCTTTGAAAAATATATTTAGGGTTACTAAATAATGTGGGTAAATTATGAAGGTTTAAATTAATTCTATTTTGCTTTTATTAATCGTTAAAGTAAGTTCAAAATGGATATACTATTGAATGCGTACACTTCACATACGGATACACACACAGTCACGATAGTGGCAACGTCTCATGTGATGTTAAACTACGAGTTACCAAAGACAACAATTTTATTAATAAAATTGTTTCTTTCTTTGAATCATATGAGTGATTCATTAATTTTATTAGGTAATTACAAAAGTTCATGACCCATTTGAAACCAAATTAAATACAATACATTTTCATGAAAAAGAGTATCTATTAATCAATAATGTACTCTCTATCATTTTCTAAAACTGTTTCCCAACGTTTTACAAGTTTTTGAATTCATTCTTTGTAGAAAATGCGTGGTTTGTATTTAAAGAAAGTCGTAAGGCAGTTTTTGACTTCTATCATAGAATAACATTTTTTGCCATTGAAATTATTTTGCAGAGAACGAAACAGATGAATATCTGAAGGGGCAAAATCAGAGGAATACGGCGGGTGCCGTATTTCCCATTTTAACTCCCTAAGTTTTTGTAGTGTCTTATGAGCGACATGTAGTTTAGCGTTCTCATAGTGAAAGATGATGCTGTTGTGTGCCCAAGTGTTGGATTCACAAGTTTGACTACCGGAATGGATATTCGGGAGTCCGGTATTTTAGGATTCGTTGCCCGAGTAAAAAGTTGGAGCTTAACTCTCGAAAGCAAGTAAAAGATTTATTGAAAACAAAATTGGTTACGTTGGAATACACTATTAAAAATAAACCGTTAACGTGGTGAGTACGAAAATCACGAGGCTGGAGGTTACTACTTTGACTAACAATTAGTCAAAAACACAATCCATTATGACATAATGAAAAATAAAGATAATGCAACACTCCAATCATAAAAGTATTCAATATACTCTTCTACGGCTGATTTAATGAAATTTAATGATTTACTAATTCTGAAAAATATCACAATAGTGATATTTGACCTTTGATCTACAGTTTTTTTATCTACAGTTGAACTTCGTTTTCTCAATTTTGTCATTTTTACCAATGACAGTAAGAGAAGAAAACCAGATATGATTGAATTCATGCTTATTTAACTTTAAATATCACAGCTAAATATTCGGTAACTGTTCATTTTCGAAGTGGCTATGAAATCCGGAAATTTCAGAGAATATTTTAGGGAATCAGTTATATATACACGTAATTGACGAGGACGTAAATTATTAACTGAAAGAGCGGTCGTGATGAATTTCCCTCAGAAGATCATGATAAAACACTTGACTTTTAATATCACGTATTTCGTCTCAAATGCCAGCAACTACACCTGATTTTTGTACACATATCCCCTTTTACTGTATATTCAACATATCTTAAATTTGGATACCCATTTAATACCAGCTTCATAAAAGGACTACCTTAAATAACAATTAACTTGTCAATAATCACGTATAGTTAACTAATACATTTTTTTATAGGTTTGTAACAAAACTTGAAAAGCGATAGTGAGTTAAAATGTTTTAACAGTTGCTTAATAAATCTGTTTCGCAAAACAACGGACAGTAAGGATGTAAAAATCGATATTTGGGATCATGACAGGGTGAACAGAATATTATTATACACAAGGAATTGATATTCATCCTAATCATGTGCAATCGGACTGTTCAATAATAATTTCATTTCTCAGCAACTACATGATGCAATAAAACGACATGAAGAAGTGACCAAATACTTTAGCTATCTTTAGTCAACCAAATGTGTTACAGTATTGAAACAGACTGCGTAGCTTACCGGGTAACACTCGAGCCTAATAATCGCAGGATTGCTGGTTCGAGTCTCCCTTCTAGCATCTTTTTTTCCTTCTTTTAAATACTTACATCATTCAAATATAAAAATCACTAAAGTTATGCCAATTCACAGATATAAAATTATAATCTTCAATGAAAATCGCACATTTTATTTTTATAATTCGCGATAAGTGGTCCTATATGGGAATTCATGCATCGGTATGCAGGGGGTAGTTTACCCCCTTAAACGTGTTTTCCGGCAAAAGAGCAAAAACATGTAAACTGTAATTTTACTTCCTCTTTCAAATGGTACGTGTTTCTTTAAATTCGATTCGTAAGTTTTTTAAATAGGGTGAAAAAAAAAGAATAATCGAAGGGTGGTTCACCCCCCACAAGAGACAATTTTTTTTTAATGTCTAGGTGCATTTTACATTACTCGTGATGAGAAACATTTTAGTTTTTGTTTCATTGAAATCAGTCAATCCCTTCTAGGTGAAACTGCATTATCACCCCTCGACATGCCGAACTTTGGGGGTTGGTTTCACCCCCTAAAACCGTTTTCCGCCGATAAAAGAAAAACACGTGCCTCTTAGATTTTCAAGCGCTACAACATAGTTCAGTTTCATCAAAATCGGAGGGGGATACAAAAGTGATGTTCCTTGTAAGTATTCACTAGGAATTCCTTTGAATAACACTGTAGCCATGACTATGGGTGACGTCTGTGTAATAAAGCTCATTTGTATATTTGGAGCCTCAAGAGCTATTTTGACGCAAAACAATTCCGTGTTAAACGTTTCAAGACTACAGCATTCCATACACAATTAAACTGATCAATTGAAAGATCCCATCATGTATTAGCACAGTATTTAAAACAATACGTCAATAATGATTCAGAATGGGAAGAGTGGTTATGAGCTAGTGTTTGATCAATTAGCCAGAGAGCCGTCAAATAATCTACTCGTAGAAGAAGATAGGTTACTCACATACAGTGATTATTTAGTTGACTTATGTTAGTCACAATAATCCACAATAAACGAGATTTTACAAGATAAAGTTTAATTAGAACTTAGTTCGAAATCTAACATTATTATAATAAAAAGATAAATCAACAAAATTTAAAAGTAGGAGATTATGTATTCTTCTTGAGAGAGCCTAAACCAAAAAAACTAGGCAATCATTATGCAGGACCCCATAAAGTATTAGGAATAGTAGGAAAAGGAAATATAGAAATTAAAATTGAAACATAATCAAAGGTAGTTCATATAAATAGATTATGATATATAATAGATACTAATCATTATATCTAGTTACATATGAGATTCAAAACGTTGATAATACTCATGACTCTAATATGGTTGTTAGAGCTATGTCGGAAAGGAGAAGCTTTAGTAGGACGCGATTGTGGAACCAACCGAATGTTACAACTTGTAACGTATTTTCTTAACTCGATACCGATAGCAAAACAATTCGAAAACTAACTATCTTCGAGAACCAACCTACGTTACCTTCGGCCATCCAGCCTTCACTCACGCATCCGCAAGCCAGGCGGGCGTCAACTAATTCTTTTTCCACCGGGAGCTGACGAGTTGATATAAACTGGGAGTTGGGGTGGAACAGGCCTAACTCCACCAAAACGAGAGCTCTGATGGAACCTATCAGAAGAGACGATAACTTAACGGATCCTGTCGATTTTTAAGGACGCGTAAAATCGAGAAACGCAATCGTAGCTGCTGATTTTTGGAGTCTTGAAAAATCAGCATACGCAACTGGATGCACGAGCAGGAGCGGACGGTTACGGAAATGCACGACCGCTGAGGCTGCTAAGTTGAGGTAGAGAAGGTCGTAGTAAGAGTCAGACAAATAGCGCGAGAGACAGAGAGTAACGAATCGAGAACGTAATAGAACGAATCTGAACTATCAAATCGAAATCCCTTCACTATTTAATAAATTGGGAGTTCTCACCGGAGCTAGTGCAGCTACTCCGTGAGGGCCGAAAACTGAATCCCGAGGACACTCAGGCGAATACTGCACTAGGGCACAGCATTACACCTCCAGAATACACTCAGAAAACCACTAGAATTTCCTGGATATCGCGAGAGGAGCGCGAGAATTACATAGGCAAGAACCTTCTGTATACCGTATCGAAACACAGCCAGAAAAACTATCAATAGATAGCACGGGAGCGCGTGCCAGCTCATGGCATCTTGGTTGGTGCCCCGAGACAAACTGCTTTGACTATAGCCAAATTCGAGAAATAATCATTCTGATTGGTCGAAATCTTTATAGCCAATAACTCTTCATTTCTCTCGAGTCGTTCCTTTAAACTAAATCGAGAGCATTTTTTAATGAATTGGTGCGTAACTTTTCGAGATTCTCCATGGCCGCTTCCCCAGGGCATCGGGCGATAGCTGGGCACTATATTCTTATCTTGGCTCAAGGGTTCATCCCCTGCCCTTAAACGCAACAAACCATCTCTGCCCGAGCGAATCTCAAACCATCTCCCTTCGAGCACATCGACCTCAACTAAACTATATAAAATCCTCCGGGAGCATTGGCGTAACTATCCCTGCTTAAAAAATACGATAGAAAACGATTGAAACAAAATCCTATCTAACCCAATCGTGTTTTTGGTTCGTAAAATTTAGATTCGTTATCTAATATTTCCTATACAATTTCCATCGTCTTATATAAAAAGAAGCAAATCAATTGCTTATCGTTTTTAATAGGTTTCTATCTTGAATCGTTAACGTACACCGACAGGTAATATACGTTATTACTATTAAAAATAAACGTTCTTCCTATCTTCCAAGATGTCGATTTTTCTCAGTTTTTATTCTCGTGTCAAAGCACTCAAATTCGAATCAAATCAGATTCTTGGTGGGAAATGTACGCGCATTGCATCCTTAAATTCATGATAATTGTTGGGAAAACCATTTGTTATATTAAGCCATATAAGAAGGTTATCGTTTATTTTTATTTTTATTAGACAGGCAACTGCAATATACCATCTTCACCAAAAAAAAACTGTGCCTGTTTATATAGTTTATATAGGGGGAATAGCTGAAAATCCCAAGAACACTCTCCCGCAAAGCGTTTGTCGAAATTCGAAATAGTTTTTAAATGGGAAGCATTTAAGATGAACCAATCAGAAGTCATGGCTGCGTGGTGGCAGGTACACTAGTGTGAGGCAGAATTTAGCTGCTTCAGATAGATTGCGCAATTAGCAATGCTTTCACAGTTCAAGCGCCAAGCGCATTCGTTCACAGACTGTTGATACTGGAGCAATACAACATTTTAAAAGTGAATAACGTTTTTCTGCTAGTTCTTTTTATTAGTTCGTCTTCCCCTCACGCCTTCTTGTCAGTTCTCATAAGCACTGTGCGGACGAGCGGACTACTTGTTATTGGAACTTTGACACTTGAGCATTTGACTTTGCGATTTTTGAGTTTTAGGTTAGTAACGGGATGAACGAGTGTGGCATTCCACTGGTATCGGCACTGAAACCCGTTATTATGTTCTTTTTTTAATTGTTGGGTGTGAAGTGTCGTCTTTCAAGTGACCAATATTAATTTTTCAATCTTGTTAGAGATTGTTAGGCTAGGACTCGGGTGGGAGTCACTCAGCAGCCTAGGAATAGAAGAAATTATTCTGTTAGAGCCACGCTGGCGAAACTGGTAACGCGACAGGATAGACCCCTGGAGTTCCCGGTTCAAATCCGGGCTGTGGCAGAATTTTTTCACGATCCCTAAAAAATTCGTTTCGTCTATTCCTAGGCTGCTGAGTGACTCCCACCCGAGTCCTAGCCTAACAATCTCTAACAAGATTGAAAAGTTAATATTGGTCACTTAAAAGACGACACTTCACACCCAACAATTAAAAAAAAATTAAATTAATATGGCCAAAAATTTCATAGATCTTAAAAAGTTATTATGTTCTTTAAAAAACTTATGTATTATTTAATTGGGTAGAAGAATTGTTGGTCTGGATTGTCTGAACGAAACTTATGGCGAACTTATCGAGAATAATTATTTTTAATACTTTCATTTATTGTGTTTTCAATTCTGTTATGCAAAACGTTGAATAGATTATGTATATTTTACAATAATTTTTTAATATTTTGTATATTTTTTGGACATCATGTACATTTTTGGACACAGCTATATTCAATCGAACATTCATATCCATACACACTTACGCGCGCGGGAGACAAATGTATAAGGCGCTTGTTCATGTCATTTACAGTCAGGCCTACTAATCATAAATCCTAAAATTTCTTTCTGCAGCTATTCTTCCACCTCCTTCAAGTCGAGGCCCAATAACACGTCCAGTGCCAGCCAAAACAAAAGTGTTTTCCATATTAGATCGTGCAAGAGTTGCCATGGACCAAAGTTATGGGTAATATCTTCATGTATTAATTACCTGAGGATTAGAAGCACCTTCCGAAGAAATAACATGTTGCTTAAAACGTAAAAAAGAACCTCATCCCGTAGGTATGATGCACCAACTCCGCCGCCAAGCAGTCGCGTAGCCTCGCATCATGATTATGATTATCACGCCTCATCAAGTAGTAGTAGCCGGTATGCTGATCGTCACTATACCTCATCTTCTGTGTAAGTTTTCTTCATCTTACCAAAAATGATAAATCTGCTGCCAGTTAAACATACACATGGATAGACTCTGTTTAGTGTCTACGGTTCTATAAATTGTAAATGATGAATTATCATTTATTTAGGGATGAACTCTACCCTTCCTCGAGATATACTACCTATGAGTATGAGGATGATGCCGTGCCACATTCATCACACGAATATTACGAGTCATCGGATTATCCGGGTACTTTAATGTTTATATCTATCTATACTTTACACATAGTGTTTCAGGAGCACAATTTTCTTTGTTCGTGTTTTATACAAATTAGCAGGATTGGCATGCAGGTCTTTGTGCATAAACAAACACCGAGGTGCAAATTATTGCCCATGGTTCTCAAGAATTAAATTTCAATGTCATGGTGAAACAAGAAAAATGCATTTTTTCTAGGCTACATTATAAAAATATTCTATCATCACGATCGAGATTGTGACAATAGTTTCATGTGATCAAATATTTTTTACGGCAAATTCACCCTTTAAGATCCGAGTTTTTTATGCGTGTTCCACGTTAGTCAGACAGTCAGATAAAAAAAATTGTCATCATTTTTACTTTATTCAAAACTACTCTTAAAGTCAAGAAATACTACTCACATCAAAGAATACAATTGGAAAATTTTTAATAAGGCTATTGACATTGAAAATCACCATGAGATATTTTTATAAAACATCTTTCTTCGGGGCTTGTTTAAATTTGGGCAAAAGAACATTTTTCACGTCAATGGGCAATTATTCTGCAGGTTTTTATAATTATTGTTGTATAATTGTGAGTATTTTCCATGTGTCGACCCTTTCACAATCAGGTTCAAAAAAGTTCAACGAATTTGAGTTACGACGTTCTTATAATGTTATATTTAACTGTCTTAATAACGCATTGGATTCAATTCAATTATTCGTGATATAAATACATAAATTATCTGAAACACACAGTGCGTAATGAAGTTTTATTTAATAAATAACACATTTTTCGAAATTTAATCAAACAATCGAGCCTCGCAGGAGTTGTTTTATTCGGAGTGCTAGAAGTAAAATATGTTTTTTTTTTGACTGACCAGATTTTTGACTGACTCCTTAGCAAGATATATATATTTTAGTGCAAAATCATATACTTGTATACTTTACAAACTAAATTTTATGCAAAGCTATGCGCGGCTTGGTAGGAATTTTATTATTTTAAATTGACAAAAATATACAGTTTATTTATAGACTAATTATGAAACATTTTTTCCTAAAACGAACTATGACAATCGAAAGTATTTTATTGTTTGTACTCTGAATACTTACAAAAATATTGAAATTTTTTTTGCAATTCTTAATAACATGATGTTACTTCGTCTTTACCTTTTTGACCTTTATTTAGTTTTACATTTATTGTAGCATTGATCTTCTCTTTTTATTTTTATTTTTATTTTTTATTTAAGTCCAAAGGATGATTAAAAACGAAATCCATAACGTTCAATTTTAAAAAAGAAAAATTCTCGAGAAGCGTATCGTAATATTTACTAATGAAATAGTTTAATTTTGACAATTAATTTCCCTTGAAAGAGCAGAGTAAACAGTTTTTATAGCTGTAATTATATAATTGCACTTTTTCCAGCATACAATAAGTATGCATTACACCAATTAAAAGCATTTAATTGTCTTTTTTGGTATTAATAATGTGCAAGAGTTTTAATTTTAACAACGTGTAAAATTTGAGTAACAGTTGAATATGTTATAATTAATGTTTATTGGGTATTATTTATCTATTGTAGCCGTGCCATCGCTTTCTTTCCTGACAAAGTTATGTTCACGAAGGTAAACCTAAACCTAAACCTTCTGTTACTTGAACTTGTTAACTTGAACAATTGACAATGAGAATTCCAGGAACCATGGATTTAAATTGCGCACCTTGGTATAATTAGCACAATATCTATCCAAATTTATATGTATATCTTTACCCGTGAAGCAAAACGACACAAGTTTAATTTTTCTTTCTTTATTCAAGTTGATCTTATATTTGACGTCGTAGAGGCAGATTTTTTCTTTTCTGAAAATAGGTCGTTGAAGAATCTACCTTACAGAATAAAATTTGGAAAGTGACCCAAGCCCAGATTTTGTCCATTACGCATCAAATATAACAACAAAAGTCTGCACAAGTCGAATAAGCTCGAGTATTATGTAAGTCGCGTTTGAAACACATTAACAACACTATGTCAAATAGAACAACTTGCGCCGTTTTGACTTTCAGTCCCACCTATATGTACGCATATCCGTTATAAATTTCAAAATCTTCACGCATCTTGTCATTGATACATCACAAATTCATTTAAATGACGAAACTCTAAAATAAAATTAAAAGTATGTGTTATACACATGCGTAGAGAAAACATTGACGATCATACTGTCCGGGTTTACATTGCACTACCATTGTTAATACGGCAAAATATGAATATTATTAATATAATGAAAACGGTCAACGAGTGTTTCCTAAATTATGACCATAACGATGAAAATAAGTCTGATATTAGTGCACAAGTGTGCAAATTAATCCGAGTTCAAATCGAATCGATACGTTTTCGTTTGTTTAACATAAGTCGACACGAATCAAACACATTAGATGCAGTCGCGAGATGTTTCTCTGAATAGAGAACATCATATTGCTAAAATAAAAAAACAAAAATAAGAAAGCTTCAGGCAGCAAAATGGCATAAATCAGTCACTGCTACGTGTAATGAGTTTAAACTATCTAAATGATTTTTTTAAGTGATATAATTGATTGGTAATGTTTTAAATGCTTCTTGAATGATTGATACTTCTGTTTTAAAACAACACCCACGTTTTTCTATAGTAAATCATAAAGCCTCGAGCCTGGTATATCCTAGCATGTAGAATATTAATGTTTCTATCCTCGGTGTTGTGTGAAACTTATAATAATGAAAATGCATCAATCAATAAAATTCGCAGAGGAATCATCGAGCCGCGCATGGAAGTCGTACAAGACAACAACTACATCGGGCTCGAGCTCGCGCTATCGCAACGCTCCGTATTCCCGACCTTCCAAGTAAAACCTTCCGTTTCCTCTTCAACGTGTCCACATCTGTGTTGTGGGTGGTATGTACTGAAAAAAGCTGGGATGTTAAATCGCTAAAATATTGATAAAGTAACAATTACCAGCATAACTTATAAAACTTCTATCCATCCTCTCCTCAGCGAAACATCATCTCTTCCATTAACGAGTGCGCACTTTCCTTTGACGTCTTTATTCTTTACAAGATCTAAATCATTGAACACTTAATCTTCTTCATAATAATACCCTTTACCAATACAGCATTCCGTAAGCCATGGTAAATGTCTTTAAAGGAATGAACAGCGCAAGTCCGAATATGAATGAGTCATGACGATATGACAACGTGAATTTTAGCAAAAATATCACAGTCACTACGGTCAGAGAAAAAGAAAATTAATTACTATTAAAACTTTTTTATATAAAAAATATACGAAATCTGAACTTTACATAAAAGAGTATGAAACCACAATAAAACGATGAGATTAAATAAGTGAGCACTAAATACTGAATTTCCGCCTCCATTTTTTAATCTAAACTCTCAGTATATATGTAAATTAAATGAAAACAATGAAATGGAGAAAAAATAGGAAAGCAAAGGATAAAAATTCTCAGAAATATTCACAAGTTAGTTTCTCTACAAATACAAAACCTAAAGCGCATATTTTTAAGTCTTCTCAAAATTAAAAATCCTATCCTTAACCCTCTCCTCAAGATGAGACAACGCTATGGAGCTAACTAATAACGAAGAGTAAAGGATCAAGAGGATCGGTGGGATAAAATAAGTAAACCTTTAGATAAGCGTTTCAAATGATTTGTTTATTAAAACATTAAGGATAAGGCGGTAAGCGAGAGTTCGCGCTGTGTATGTATGTTAATATTTCTCGATCAATTAGCTTTATTCATATTTGTAATTATCATATCCTTTTTCGTATACTATTTAAAATTTATCTTAGAATCGACTTATGTCACTGAGGCATACAAATCGTAAAAACTAGAATCTCTTACCCGACTATTCATACTTTCTTCTTTTTTTTTCATTCTTACTCGTTCTTCAATTTCAATTGAAAATTAAACATGGCCATACTATAAATACACAGTGCAGACTTCGTATCCGTCGTAATAATGACTCACTACGATAATATTTAATAAAACCCAATTAGTTCAATTTAATTTCATTAATTAAACGGATGCAATTTGTATATCTATTAAAAACAAAATATACATCGCAAAACGAAAAACATAAATAAAGGACAAACATCAATCTTTATATGCAATTATCCAAATCCTTATAAAATTTTGTTTAACGTTCATAAGCAGTGAGGGTAATACCAACCGAGCAATCATCGTCGGCAATTAAGTCACTGGGAAAGTGAGTAATGTTAATGTCCATATTATAGATTTAGATGCGTTAAATAACCTTAAATTTTTCTGTGTGGATAACTATCAAGAGATAATAGTTGCACTTGTAACAAACTACAATTATTATAATCACAAGTTATAGATATATAAACGTTTTATGAAATATCATTTAGTAACCATTAAATTCAATTAACATTAAACAGTCGATCATATTCTACGCAATGTAATGATCCTAAAGAGAAATAAAAATAAAGCGATAATACAAAATACCCTTTTCTTTTACAAAAATGCAACTAGATGAATAAATCGATTAAAATAGTCGATTGTGTAAATATAATTGATGACAGCGTTCGACTAAAGGTAACACATCGTAGACATACAAAATAAAAAGTTATTACTGTGTGTTTAACGAGAATATTTGCGTTTCGTAGTACAGTGCAGTCTCCGTGATTTTTAGACTTTCTAGTTCTTTGCCTCTCCTCGAATATTACGACAGTTGGCGGAGAGAGTTTCCCCGCTCTGCTTGCAGAAGCTGCGCGCACAGCGACACGCAAACTGTTAAATGGGCGATCACGCTACGCTTTAACCCTCTCTTATCCCGGAGTCTCGTCTATTTTTAACTGAATGGCGGGGGCTGTAGTTTTGGATTTCCGAGAACACGCAACCCCGAATCAGGAGAATTATGGAAGCTGCACTGTATTTGAAAAGCTGGAAGGTTATCTCTGCTTAAAAAATACGATAGAAAACGATTTTTAAAAAATCCTATCTAACCCAATCGTGTTTTTGGTTCGTAAAATTTAGATTCGTTATCTAATATTTCCTATACAATTTCCATCGTCTTATATAAAAAGAAGCAGATCAATTGCTTATCGTTTTTAATAGGTTTCTATCTTGAATCGTTAACGTACACCGACAGGTAATATACGTTATTACTATTAAAAATAAACGTTCTTCCTATCTTCCAAGATGTCGATTTTTCTCAGTTTTTATTCTCGTGTCAAAGCACTCAAATTCGAATCAAATCAGATTCTTGGTGGGAAATGTACGTGCAATGCATCCTTAAATTCATGATAATTGTTGGGAAAACCATTTGTTATATTAAGCCATATAAAAAGGTTATCGTTTATTTCATATTCTTCCCTAATTAGTTGGTGACGATAGAAAACGATTCGATTCCTATCACGCATTTTCATATTAATACATATAAAAATATGATTCATATAGAATCATATAGCATCATATACGTAATAGAACGTGAATTTCATATTACCATATGTTTGCGAATGATGTACACTAATTAGATTGTATTATAATAAGATCCTTTATTTTGCGTACATTTCGATCTTTCGCCATATTGCCACTGACTCTCTTTCTCCTCCTACATACTTTTCGTACAGTGGCGCTGTAGTCGCGAACATTCCGCCTCCCTTGAAAGACGGTCTTTCAACAAGTTAAGAAAGTAAATGATAATAATGGATAAATGCAATATTGAGAAGCAAAAATAAGATGATTAAAGCTAACTTCTAACAAACTCAACATCGATATATGGATTATTTATGAGAACTCAAATTTCGATCAATTACAACTTTTGTTGAACGTATTTTGTTTTCTTTGGATTTTTAGACTGTATAATGAAAATCAAAAAAATAAAATAAATCGCTTCTCGACGATTTAGTCTTCGCTTGAATTGTCGATTTCGCTGTTATCTTCTTCAATCGGTAAAGGGCAGAGCTTCTTGACGGCCCTTTTGAATAAGCCGCTCGAAGTTTGAACGGTCGCCACCCTGAAAACGTTGTCATCTCCTGCATGCACCTCAACAACTCGACCAAGAAGCCATTGGAGCGGTGCAACGTTGTCCTCTTTCAATAGCACTAGTGTGCCTACTTTGAGATTATCGCCCTTGAGATGCCATTTCTGCCGCTTCTGCAGTTCGGACAGATACTCGTGATACCATCGGTTCCAAAAATGTTGCCGAACCTTTTGTATATGCTGCCATCGGGAAAGACGATTGTTTGGCACCTCGATATAACAATGCTCAGCCGGCAACAACAGTGAGTCCCCTACTAGGAAATGGGAAGGGGTTAATGCTGATGTATCATTGGGATTACTTGAGAGAGGGGTGAGTGGTCGAGAGTTTAGGACGGATTCGATTTCGACTAGCAATGTGAATATTCTTCGAATGTGAAGACAAGTCCTTTGGTGACGGTATTCAGGTGTCGCTTTGCAACCTTAACGGCCGGCTCCCAAAGTCCACCAAAGTGTGGAGCTCTTGGAGGGATGAATTGCCAATCAATGCGTTGCCGACACAGATGATCCGCTATAGTGTCCTTTTCTTTCTCCAAAAACGCGTATACTTCTTTCAATTCCCTCGCTGCGCTGACAAAATTTGTCCCATTATCCGAAATGATGGTCGAACAGATTCCGCAACGTGCTACGAATCTGCGCAAAGCTGCTAAAAAAGCTTCTATAGTCAGCTCAGAAACTAGTTCGAGGTGTATCGCTTTCGTTGCGAGACACGTGAAAACCGCGATCCAGGCCTTCGTTGTATGGACTCTACCTCGTCTACGACTCTCCCGCACTTGCAATGGTCCAGCGTAATCTACGCCTGCATTGGCGAATGGCTTCAAGGAACTTTGAACGCGTTTGCTTGGTAAGTCGCCCATCATAACGTCAGGCACCTTTGGTTTGCTACGATAACTGTATGCAGTTGCTTGTAATTTTCCGAGCTTCTCTGCGTCCGCTGAGAACCCAATACTTTTGCCGCATTGAATACAGTAATTGTTCCGGTCCACAGTGGTGTAGACGTAGATGTTCTCTTCTCATTATTACCTTCGTCACGTGATGATGATCTGGTAAAATGATCGGATACTTTTGAGTTTCGAGGATGTTTGCCTTTGACAATCTTCCGCCGACGCGAATAAGTCTTTTTTCGTCTAAGAAAGGGCTGAGAGCTGCAAGCTTGCTTCCTTTTGGCACTTGCTTACCCTGCTCCAAAGTCTTGTGTTCAAGTAGAAATACTTCTCGCTGAGTCATCTTGATGATAGCTTTTTCAGCTTGCTCCAGTTCTTCTACCGTTTGAGAACCTTTGCGTTTTGTGCCGAAAGTGTTGAATTTGAATATGAGACAGTAGGCAATCACTCTTTCAAGCTTTTCGTAAGTCGAGAATTTTCTCAACCCGTCGTCTGTGTTCTTTGCTGAAATCAAAACAGCCGATGGTTGCATTTCAGATGTGTCAATGTCGATGGTTCTACGTTCTGGCCAATTCCAGTTGTGAGCCAAGTAGGTCCGTGCCACCACAAGTCTCGTGTCTTCCAATTTTCTACTGTGATACCTCTTGATATTAAGTCCGCTGGGTTATTCTCAGACGGAACATGAAGCCATACAGCATCACGCGTTGAGTTCTGGATTTTTGTCACTCGATTAGCGACATAAGTTTTGCGAAGATTAGGCGACGAAGCTATCCAGCTCAATACTATCATTGAATCGCTCCAAAGATAAATATTTTCTATCTTCTCTGAGAATGCTTGAATCGCCGTACTGCATAGTTTTGCGAGTGTAAGCGCTGCATTGAGCTCGAGTTTCGGTAACGATATTGTTTTTAATGGAGCTACCCTACTCTTTGAGCATATCAAATAAGAATTCGTCTCACCTTTCGAATTTTTTCACCGCGTACAGATACGCACCATACGCTTTTTCGGATGCGTCACCAAATCCGATAAGATCGAACTTTCCATTAGTATTTCCTGGATTTATATTCCTCGGTATGCGTGCGTCGTTGATCTGCGACAGCGAACTGTAGTAATCGTCTCAGATATCCTGAAGTTGTTGCGGTAGATTTTCATCCCAGCCGGTTTGCAATTGCCAGATTTGCTGCATGATGCACTTTGCGTTGATCAATACTGGGCCAAGAAGACCAAGCGGGTCAAATATCTGCGCTATCTTGGATAGGACTATTCTTTTTGTGATTTTTCCCGGTTTCTCGGTCGTTACACTGTATTGCATATCGTCGGATTTTGCGTCCCATAGAAGATCTAAAGTTTTTAGGGCTCCCTGTTTGTCGAGGTTTAATAGGCTGTCAGCCTCTTGATCGTGTGACAAATTTGCTAATGCTCGATCGTCGTTCGAACGCCATTTTCTAAGCTGAAACTCTTTTGAGGATTTACGTCTTTGAAGGATTTGCGAGATTTGTTGCTGCAAAGCGACGGTTTTTTCGATTGTCTCCGCGCCGGTCAACACATCATCCATATAAAAGTCCTCTTCTATCGCTTATGCCGCTCGCGGATACTTCGTGTCTTCTTTAGCGAACTGGCGTAAACACCGAATAGCGAGATACGGTGCTGGTGCCGTACCGTATGTGACGGTATTCAGTCGATACATTTGAATCTGCTGCGATAGTTCTTCTCTCCACAATATAGTTTGTAAACCTCGATCTGCTTCTCGAACGAGAATCTGGCGAAACATAGCTGTAATATCAGCTGTTCAGACGAATTTATGCGATCTAAATCTTAGAATTATCTCAAATAGATCCTTCTGAAGATTAGGTCCGATCATGAGCTTATCATTTAAAGCTGTTCCGAGTGAAGTTTTTACCGATGCGTCAAAAACAACACGTAGTTTCGTCGTCAAACTGTCTGGACGAATCACCGGCTGATGCGGCAACACGAAAGTGCTTTCAGGTGTCCAGTGCGCACCATCCGGCATGAGAGACATATGAGCTTGTTGTTCATAGTCCTTTAGAAATTGGACATACTGCGATTTGACAGATGGATTAGCCTTGAATCTTCTTTCAAGAGCAAATAGCCGTCTTTTGGCTTGAGTTTCCGATTCTCCAAGCTTAATATCCGGTTTTTGCGGTAGCGCCACAATAAACCTTCCATCCGCTTTTCGTTGCAATGAATCTGTGAATTGTCTTTCACACTCGACTTCTTCTCTTGTCAGACGTCGAGTTTCATGAGATTCTTCTTGATCCCAGAATCTTTCTAACTGCACTTGAAGCGTCGTGTTGGTCACTAATCCGCAGAATTGTGAAGGGTTCTTCGATGTTGCGTCGATTAGTTCACCTCCTACAATCCAACCTAGAAGAGTGTTCTGAAGTTTTGGGAGACCTTTGGCTCGTTGAATTGAATCTACACACAGTAGCTGCCAGAATAATCCAGCTCCTATTAGGAGGTCGATCATTCCTGGTTCATGAAAGGATGGATCTGCAAACTGCAGTCCCTCCGGCAATAATATAAGTTTTTTATCGATTTTTACCTGTGGCAATCGTTCCGCAATGCTTAGCAGCACCAGACAATCGATTTGCGTTGAATAATCAGTGTGCATCGACGTGATTTTTACCTCAACCGTCTTTGCAATACTCGTTTGCGCCTGATTAATTCCTGTGATGAACTCGTTTCGTCGTTTGCATTGAAGATTGAGCTTGCGAACAAGATCTTCTGTGATCATCTCTGCTGAGCACCGTTTGCATCCTCGATGTAGACACGAGCTGTTGATAGTATAATCTGCATGCTGGGCTTTCGTACAACGTTTATCACTGAAGATATTTCCGCCGATGTACTACTCGCTTTATTTTCCTCTGTACAGATAGCAACGACTGCATTTTTTGCTGTTTCGTTACTCTTCGTAGCGGCGGTCGAGCTTTCGTCCGACTCCAAATGTAGAAGCGTATTGTGCTTCCTCTGGCACTTCTTACAACCAGACGATCTACAATTTGTGCCGTAATGGCCTTTGCCCAAACAATTGATACAAATTTTCTTCGATTTTGCTTCCTGGATTCGATCTGATATCGACCTTTGCAGAAAGTCAGGACACTTGTACACCGGATGAGCATTACTACAAATAGAACAACTCTGTTGCGTAGTAGTGGCAACTGCTACCGACTTTCTTGTCTTTTTCGATGGAGGCGGCTTCGATGCTTCACTTTTATTTTTTCCTCGGTCGATCATTTCTATAGTGCGACATCGATCGCCTAAGAATGTAAGAAATTTTTCTAAAGTTTTTCTGCCTTCTTTGTTTCGATTAGCCGCTTCCTCCCAGTCCTTTTGCGTGTTGAAATCGAGCTTGGATTTCACCATATGTATCAATAATTCATCCCAATGTTGAATGGGAAGCTGGAATGTTCTCAACACTTTCAGGTGTGTGCGAATATGCACTATGAGTTGACGCAAAGTTGATGGCTTATCCTTTGCGACGGTTGGAAACTCTAGCAATTTGTTAAGATGCGTGTTAATGAGCAGTTTTGCTAACCCCCGATAACTTGTAATGCTTCATCTTTAAGCGAGGTTTTTAAATACTGAAATTTTTGTATTGGTGTGAGACTACCGTTGTCGTGAATCATTGACTGAAAAGCATCTTTTAAAAGAAGCCACTCGTTAAAACACCTTTGAACTCGGGTAATGTCAGAACTGGAAGTTTGATTTCGCATCGTCGTGGTTCATTTGAAACTTACCGATCTCTGTTTGCATTATTTTGATGCGCGACCTGCTGTGCAAATTGTTGCTCCTGTGCCTCGCTTCTCCTTGTGTTGTCGCGTGAGACGCTCGGCATGTGTGATGGCCGCTTTCCTTCGCGTGAATGTAGCGCTTTGTTCTGCGCCTGAGAGCTATGACGCTCGTTACTCGTGAGCTATGACGCTCTGTCCAATGGACAACGAGTCGATGTTTTCCGACTGGGTCTTGCCTTCGCTCCGACCGTTAACAATGCGCGTTCTTTAACTTTTCTAGGAACGCTATGACCATCATATGCTTGATAATTATCACACTTTTCTGTTCCGATAATTATCGAATGAATTTAATCAATTTTTTTTAACACGATTTTTGCGAATTCAATGTCACTTTTGTCCAGATATTTGTTTTGTAAAATCGACGACTATCGCGTGCTCGACCACTTATTTTCTCGATGTTATTAAATGTCACTTTGAATGCTCTCGCGAACGTAAATTCACGATCTTCTCGCTGCTCGAAGCTTCTCGAAGCCCATCCCACGAACGTCGTTCTACTCGTCGCCTGTCATGGCCGCTGCCTCGTTAGACGCCTCGTGCTTTCCACGCCGGAGATACTTTTGCACATTTATGCTTTATTTCCCGCGGTACTCAGTCGATTGATAACACAACTTTTTCCCACATGGGTTCGATGCTGCTTGTTGGACGCCAAATTTGTTTGCGAACGATGTACACTAATTAGATTGTATTATAATAAGAGCCTTTATTTTGCGTACATTTCGATCATTCGCCATATTGCCACTGACTCTCCTTCTCCTCCTACATACTTTTCCTACAGTGGCGCTGTAGTCGCGAACACCATAGATAGACGTACTGCTTATATGAAAATACATATAGGTATAGATTAAATTTCTATCGTATTTTTTAAGCAGGGATAGCTTGCCTTTGTATAAGTGGCTGAATGCAAATGATGAGTACCTCTCCCGCCTTAGTGATTTTAAGAAAATACATTTTCGCCTTTCGTGTTACAAAAGTAGCATGTAATTCTCGTTTAGAACCATTAATCGGAATGTACAATCTTAAAGAAACATTGACTTTTTAATTTCAAAAATATATCTTTGGATGCACGGAGGTTATATTATTGTATGTATTCTAACATATTTATCTAATGTAACTTCACTTTTATATTCTTATCAGGTGTATAAGAGATTCATGGAGATCGCGTAGAAACACGCTCTTTTGGATCAAAATCTTTTCCAAGTATCACAGCCATGAACCATGACGTGCCTTGATGAAAGTGAGTATAACACCAACGATGTAAAGTTTAATATCTTTTTTATTTTACATAAAGTTCTACACTGATAATTAGTAATTACATATATGACGTGATAATGTTAGGCGTGGAAAAAACTTTATGGCTATTATTATTCTATGCCTTGAATAAATTCGCAATTATTATGAATATATCGTGATACACCAGCTTCGTTCAAGTTCAATGAGTGATATTATTTAAAGCAAAGCAACAGAGTTAAATGTAATAGACAAAATGATGATTTCCAAGACAATTTAATAGGCCACAAAGTAAATTTTATTTTGGAAAATCATGTTAAACAAAATGATGAGAAAAATGTAATCTAGTTGACTTAGTTGTTTTGTCATTTTCACAAATCAATTGAAAACAAATAATAAAGGTTTGATTTTTCTCATTATATACACAATCTTCTGTGTATGTGTCGAGGAAACTTCCACAATAAAATCCGTATAGCTGATTTTTAAATTCATTTTGTAATAAAATCATTTGCCTATTGATCAGTAATATAAATGCTAATGGGAAACGTGTAATTCATCTTTTGATTAGCCTGTGAAATTAAGAAGTGTTATTTCTTGATATATCTATATTAATGCTATTATAGATATCAATTAAAAAAAAAAACATTTTATATAAAATTGATCAACTTCATTCGTGGCTATTACTCAAGTATCTGACAATTAAATTGAATAACGTAGTGTCATTTTCTAGTTAAATAAGATGTATTTAATTTACAATTATGTACATGTACTTGCACTCAATAATTACTTGTTAACTAGTTTCTCGCGATGTCTTCGGCACTGCTTGATGACTGTGTCTATAAAAGGTATTTTATTTAGGGACAAAGATGAGAAATATTTAATCACTTGTATCTCGCTAATTCGGAGCACTTCGATCTCGAGAATCTTGAAAGAGAGTATGTGATTACATAAATTAATGATTCACAGCATAATAAAACTGGACGAGGTATAGCTACTGGAGGACATATTCTGACGGAAATTACGCAGGATCCAGTTACATCAGAACACGATGTCACTACCTACAACAACGCCGTTGCGATTCGTCCTCATTGCGTAGGCGCGCAGCTTTACAGCTAAAAAGGTTGTGTTTAGCAAATATATGTATACAGAGATGTTGCAGTTCGATAAATAGTCTATTGAATAGATAGTGCAGTCAAGCTAGACTTTGAATATATGGTGTACATGAAGCTGAAGTTCAGGGTATGAAAGTTATACCAATCGATAGCTAAAGGTTCCCTTATGAATATAACAATTTGTGTCAGCTCCATTTTCAGGGCCAAATTAATAATTAATAAAAAACAATCGAAGATTTGTGCCTAACCGACTTTTACCCTCCACTTCTTTACTATTACTCAGTCAAAAAAAAATGAAATTACTAATTTGTAGCGGAAAATTGACCATTGAAAATTTACCATCAAATTCACTCAGAAAACTACGGGAAAAAATGCACGGTTAATTTATTATAATTTTTTAAAGTAATTTGTGAGCATTTTTTGCCAACGCGTAAGTTGATTTGTTACGTCTTATGCGTGAGCGACCGTATGCGGGAGCATCAGGGAGCTAGCATAGGTGTTGAGATCAAAGATCACGTAAAAGGTATTGGGTTCTTGCCACTTTAAGGTGCTAAAACACGCCTATTTGCGTTTATGTCCCTTGGTCGATAGTTAAGATGAGGATCACAAACAGGTACTAAATATATTGATTTGGAAAACTCACTCGTTCTACGGGAGTTTGGTTGAAGCTACTGGTAAAGGGTTTATCTGGATTTAAGAGCTAATAGGTTCAGGTCTCGAAATTAAGAGAAAAAGGTATAGTTTAACTAAATATAATAAAACAATGGGTTAAAATACATGTAGC